CTCCTGACCTCAGGTAATCCACCTGCCTCGGGCTCCCAAAGTGCTGGGATTACAGGCATGAGCCTGCTGCCCCCGGCTCCTTCTTTAAAATATAGTTCTGAATTCACCCTCTCTCTAACTCCCCTAATTTAATTTTTGAATAGAGTGTCTTCAAAGGGAGTGTCAAGTGTCAAGTTTGATAGCATTTGTTCTTTTTGTTGAAGTCTTTGAAAGACTTCTTTTTTCCTGATTCCATTGTATCCAAGAATAATCTTTAAAGATTTTTGGCTTAACCAATAAAAATCAATACCTGTTTGTGTTGATGAAGTTACCAACTGCGGACTTGTGTGCTTGTGTCATTGCTCAAATTCTGGTCCAAATTTTTGTTTTCTTTGAAAAACTGCTTCTTTAACACCTGGGAGACAAAAATATTTGTAAAATGAAAGCATTCTCTTTAGTATTAAGAAGGAAAGTGAACTATGGTGTATTAGAAGCTTCTAGATTTTCTAATTATGTGCTTACTTTATTTTAAATTATGTTTAATTTGTTTCAAGAGTTTTTGGGGTACAGGTCGTTTCTGATTACACGGATATGTTATTTAGTGGTGATTTCTTCGATTTTGGTGTACCCATCAACTGAGCAGTGTAAACTGTACCTAGTATGTAGTCTTTTATCCTTCACCCCCTTCTCCCTCCCCACTGAAAGTCCCCAAAGTCCATTATATATTCTTATGGCTTTGCATCCTCATAGCTTAGCTCCCACTTATAAGTGAGAACATATGATATTTGGTTTTCCATTCCTGAGTTACTTCACTCAGAATAATGGCCTCCAGCTCCATCCGAGTTGCTGCAAAAGAATTATGTGCTTACTTTAAAAGCAAAGCTGAGGATAAGATTGTACAAAATTAGAACTGAACTGAAGTAGTGTGCTGCAAAGGGATTACAGGAGCCCATCTATTCCAAACCCCTAATATTCCAGAAGAGAATGTTAAAATATAGAGAGATGTGAGCCTTGGCCAAGGTTATGCACTTGTTCCCCCTTCTCCATTCATGGCTGGTGAAAGGGCTTGGATGTGATAGGCTAATCGGGTTGAACATGTAGTGACTGGTTTGTAATTATTTTCATTAATAGAAAGTGGCAGGTTTGTTTTTAGCCCACTTTTTTATACCCCAGGTGTCTATCTCCCTCTCAGGGGATCCATCTGTGGCACCACCTCTTTCCTGAGGGTCTGCACACTCACCTGCTTGAAAGAACATTGCCATGAAGCACTGGTTGGCTTAGAATGGTATTTCCAAAAGTGTTTGTTCTATGGGCTGTAAATTGGTATTCTCTTGGGGAGAACAGTTGATGCTTGAATGAATTTTGAAAGTGCTACACTGAACAAATGTGTATGATTATTTCCTGCAAGACTTCTCAGAGCCTTTAATGTGCTAATAGGCATCCCAAGTCTCTAGGACAAGGGTAAAGTACATCTATCTTTTTTTCTTTTTTTGAGATGGCGTCTCGCTCTGTCGCCCAGGCTGGAGTGCAGTGGCGCGATCTCAGCTCACTGCAAGCTCCACCTCCCGGGTTCACGCCATTCTCCTGCCTCAACCTCCCGAGTAGCTGGGACTACAGGCGCCTGCCACCACGCCCGGATAATTTTTTGTATTTTTAGTAGAGACGGGGTTTCACCATGTTAGCCAGGATGGTCTCGATCTCCTGACCTCATGATCCGCCCACCTTGGCCTCCCAAAGTGCTGGGATTACAGGCGTGAGCCACTGCGCCTGGCCCATCTATCATATTTTTAGAGCTGACTTGATTATGGAACATTCTTGCATCTCTCCCCAACCCCAGCATCTCAGAACAAATGGGTATTAAGTTATCCTTCCAGAGATATTTTCATTTTAATATAGGCTACTTAAGAAGAAGTTATTTGTTGAGCTGCTTATTTCTCTTAGTGTGTAAGACCTCTAAGCTCAGGAAAAATGTCATTAATCTCTGAATCAATAATACTTAGACCAGTACCATGAACAGTTCTTAGCACATAGGACAAATGGCAGAAGATCCACCTATGTTTGTTAAAACATGAAAAGATTTCAAATCCCACAAGGAGTACTTACTGGAACTAGAATTTAAACCATCAACGGCAACCAAATTAATCTTCTGTTACCCTCCTTTTTTTTTTTTGAGTCATCAATTTCACAGCTTTGGGGCAAGAATTACTAAAAAAAAATCAAGAAAAATTGATAAAGAAAATCCTTAAGAAAAATATTGTATTATCATATCCCTTTTTCTTCTTTTCTCACTAAAGAAAAATTCAACGTTTACTAGTTTTGTTTTAATGATTTTGAGCTGGAGAGGCAGAAGTGGGAAAGTTATATGGAAAAGAGTTGAGATTTAGAAGGGTTCTTCCCGAGACAGAGAGAAGAGTTAAAATGGAAGGAAGCAGCTGCCTTTGGGTGGAAGATAATGAGGGTAGCATAGATGGGAAGTAGGATTTTAAGATACTTTCTGAGTAACTCATACCCACACCTCCACCCACACACTCAGTTTTGGAAGTATCATGAAGGACAAAGTAAAATCTCACAATGTTTTCATATGCATTCTTATTCCCTTCTTGAACTTTCCTGCAGAGACTGGGCCATGGGAACCTAGTTAATATTTGGGTTACACTACTAAAAGGAGAGAAATATGACAGAAAAATAGAACCCTGTCAACTTTTCCACTTCTCATGAGAAAGGGAACATCATCACTTGTAAAACAACTATGTAACATTTCTCATGATCTAGTACCACTTTGTATTTCTCCAGTGCTACACAAAAATGTGATCGTAGTTGTCTTTATTAAAGCTTGTTTTTAGCTAATTTTTCAATACTCGCACAATGTCTGTGAAAAATAAGGGAAAGCTATTTTACAATGTACATACATCTATATGCCTTACAAATAGAAATTGGAGAAAGTTTTAACAATTCTAATGATTTCATCATCAACAGAAAAAACCTCAACCAAAGCCAGCTCTTGGCAAAAAAGATAAATAGGAAACTAAAATGCATTTAAGGATTCCTCTAGCACAAGATACCCAGTACTGCACTTCACATTTGCTGGTCTCACAAAAAAGTTTTATAAGATTCTGAATAATCTTAGGTTGAAAAATTATCTTGGTGGTCTCAACTGAACTTCTCACAGACATCACTGTCCTTGATCCAAATATAGCTACCATGTTTGCCCCAGATATCATGAGTTACCCAAACGCTGAGATGGCAGGAAGGCTTTTCTTTGTATTGGCCAAGTGGTATATAGGAGAATCTGTCTACTCCTCGTTTGGGGAGAACCTGTTAACTAAAGCTTTCACCTACCTCAGAAAACACGTCTCGTGTAGTCTTTATTACTGTGAGTTAATTTGTGTAATGAAGTGTTTGTAGAGGTTGCTAGGCTCAGTAGGCAGGAGGAAAATAAGCCAGGAAAAACAGGTCACCAAGTTTAATTCAGTTCACCTAACATTTGTTGAGTAACTATGATGTTGAGCAACTATAATGTGCCAAGAGATGGGGATACAAAGACAGATAACTGCTCTACCCTAAAAAGAAGAAAGGAGAAGGGTAAATGGGTTGGGGAGAGGGAGGGGGAGAGAGAGAGAGAGAGGGAGAGAGAGAGAGAGAGAGATGGGAGAGAAAAAGGGAGGGTAGAGATGAGATAGAGGAAGAGGAAGGCACATGGAGAAAGGTTTTAAGACAAGCCTACAAAAGAGAGAGGTAAGTTAAAGGCAGAGGACTAACAAAGGAAAAGGAAGAAAATAATAAGAGAAAGAGACACGAAGAGAAGAAATAGTTAGAAATGATCCCAAAAGGTAAAGACAAAAGAGAATGTTTTGTTTGGGGGCTCTGGCTTTAACATCTTCTAAAAAGGTTAACCGACAACAAGGTGGTTACATTTCCCATGTTCAAAATCTTTAAGTAGAGAAAGGAGGAGAAAATTCTGCTTTTAGGGTTGCAAGGTACATCAAAAGATTTAGGTTTATATGTGGAGTCAGTAAGCTAACCTAAAAGGTTATCACAGGTTTTGCATTTGAAAACCTTTTCCAGAAAACCAAACAAACACTAGATTTACAGTAAGCATGTAATAAAAAAGACAATGGGTGCCTCCTTTCTTTTTTATGCAGTTTATAAGTGCTTTTTCCTTTCTGGGAAAGAAGTGTTTCTCCTGTACTGGTTGAGGCAATTCATCATATTAAGTAAAGTCAGAGTGTCTATAAGTACTCATTATGATGTCTCCTTGAGAAAAGAAAGGGTGAAAATGGTAGTTTAGAGCAGGAAAATGGTCAATTGTTTATATCTGGTATATCATATTATTCAGGGGATTTTTTTTTAAGTTTGAGGAAAATGTCCCTTTAAAAATATATGGAGGTGTGTGGAGGGTATTGCAGATGTTTGCTGCACTAGAGGCTGGCCATGCCAAATCTGTTTGGAAGCACTGGTTTCTAATCCAAGTCTCCTGGGTAGATGTTATTTGAAGGTCAGTTTTCTATTGATAAAATACAGATAGCTTACATTTGGTTACCACCTCAGAGAGATGGATGAAGCAGGAGGTGCTGGGAAATACCATCATTAGTACATAAGACCCTCTCTGGGGTGAGAGGAAATCGGTGGGCCAAGATCTGTTGCCCCATCTCTTCCTAGTGTGTTACCATGTCTGAGGGATGAAGAGAATTGTGTCTCCTGTCCAGCTGTGCTTGACACTAAAGAGTTCACCAGTCATTGCAATTACGCTGGTGGGATTTGGTGCTGGGGGAATTCTGTGTGCTGGGAGCCATAGGGAGGCCATCAGTTCATTTCACACATATTATTTCTCTAGGAAACACAGCATAATTGAGGACAATTTTCCACCATGAATTGCATCATTAGCTAACACAGGGAAAGTGAAATGCTGTTAACTTTTCTTTTTCTTCTGCAAAGCTGATGAGCTGAAGAAAATAGAAAAGTTTAATGTAATTTTTTTTCCAAGGATATATGTTGAAAATCAGAATCAAAACGCTTTTACGCGGTAATAGAAATCCCACATTTTAATACATTGCCATGCACATAAGGAGTCAAGTAATGCTGAATACAAAATAGTCAAATATACAAAATGATAAAGCAGATTTTCAAGCCTGATAGAGATCATGCTCACAGATACAAGGGGGGCAAACATCTGTACAGTTTCATTTTTATCCATTTTATAAGAGTTATGCCCCCCTCAACTCTTTTTGAGGACAACTGGAAACAGAAGGGAACATAAGAATATACAAAGGAGACCCAAAGGGAATTGGCGAGTTGATAGCTGCTGAAGATATGGAAATCGGTGGTTCAAAATTGTGGTACACAATAATTCTTATGTTTAGAGAAAAAAAGTTTCTAAACATCTTATGCCCTGGGAAGGCAGGAAACTAAAGTGGACATCCAACAGAAAAGGCACTCTTGTTTTACCACATAACTTGACTGCCTCCCGCTAAGTCTAGTCGTGGGAGTTTTTCTAGGATGCATAGAGAGGAAAGAAAGAAAGAAAGAAAGAGAGAAAGAAAGAGAGAAAAAGAGAAAGAAAGAAAGAAAGAAAGAAAGAAAGAAAGAAAGAAAGAAAGAAAGAAAGGAAGGAAGGAAGGAAAGAAAGAAAGAAAGAAAGAAAGAAAGAAAGAAAGAAAGAAAGAAAGACCCAACAGTTGTGGGAAATGAGTATGGGTAATACTTATGTAATTAAACACTCTTGGGAGACCAACAGAATTCAGATTGCTGGTTTAACTACTCACTTAAGGAAGTTATAAAAATGTTGACCATCTACCTAGGCTTCTGTGTTCTGACATGTGCTTTTTAGCCATGTTTGTTAGTGTTTGTGAAGGAATCAGATTCTCCCCCATGCTCCCTTCTCATCCTCTATAAAGAACACTGCTCTTATGTTCAATTCACATTGTGTAATTTTTCTTCCTCTTTCTTTCCTAGAACAAACACCAATATGCAGTAGTTCATCCAGAAAGTTTGATGTGGCTGTCTGCTTCCCGTGCCTCTCAGTTTGGCACCTCCACACTCTGATGGGTCTTCTCCAACCTGGGATTGGCAGTCTTCACCTTGGTAGGACATGGAGCTCTAAATCTTTGGGAGGTGAAGAAGTGGAAATAAATGGACACCTGGGCTGTGGACTCTGCAGACTAACCTCACATATTAGAAAAAGTGCGTGTGTGTGTGTGTGTGTGTGTGTGTAAAATGCTGATTGTTACTTCTTCATCATTCTGTTTCCTTTGTAAATCCCAGAATGGAGGCTCAGAAATAACAGCTCCATGGAGAAAGCCTCAAGTAAGGGAAAGGAATCATTGAATAAAGCCTGCAACACAGATCAGCACTCTAATTACACACAAGGGATATTGGAGGCACAGGATAGCTTCTTCCCTTAGCTCATTTTAGCCTCCAAACAACCCCATCTGCTAAGGAGGGACAGAGAGCGCCCCATACTGAAGAGCAGTTGCCCAGAGAGACTGGGCGATTTCTATTAGTCTAGCATTCTTGAATTTAAAACATTTTCTTCCTTTTTATCAGAGCAGTGTCAATCTCCACAAAGTTCTAAGAATAACTCAAGTATATAAACCACAACAGATCGATATTTTCTTTTCTCAGGTGCTTTTTACTGTTAATATTAAATTTTGTTACAAGATTGAGCTTTTCTAAAATTTTGTGCAAAGCTATTTAATTTAGTGCCTAATTATATTAAATAATTACATTAACTGAAACTACAGTAGTATGATTTAATGATACAAGAGTTTCAGTGGAATTTGTTTCCAAATATTTGTGCTGGCTTGGCTTTTCAGCAGACTGGTTCCTTCTGTCCCAATCATGACTGCGACACACAGTACAAAGTCAAGAGCCTAGTATTACTCAACTCTCTGCAATGTGAGCTTCTTTTACTAGTTAAAACATGGTCTTCTCAGACATGGCCTTGTAAGGACAGCATCTTTCTATTGGTGGAAGAAAGGTAGTGGTGGAGAAACCATTCAGAGCCCCAGAGAGCCCTAAAATTGCCTACGAGTATGAGTTTAAGCAAATAGAACCCCTTTTACCCGCAGTGGGGGCCAACACCCACCAAAGAGGCTTCCCTTTCTGGTGATCTGAGGTGGGTATTGAATAAAAATAAAAAACACAAGTGTTTCAGCATTCAAACATGAATTTCCTCCCCCACTTTACATTCATCTTTGAGGTTGCCATCTGTAACCGAAGGCCTTTTTGATGTGAAAAAGAACTGGGTCAGGCACTTCGAAACCTCTGCAGCAGCTGGTATGTGGGGAAACATAACCTTAGTCCTCTCTCAAATGCACTGTATGGTATCTGGACATAGGCATTGTCAAAAGTAGACACAGAGCCAGCAGGCAGTTCCCAGTGTAAACACGCTAAATGCACTTAATTGTGGTTAAAAAAAAATACTGGGGGGAGAGGGAAAGAGAAAGAAAGAAAGAGGAGAGAGAGAGAGAGAGAGAGAGAGAGAGAGAGAGAGAGAGAGAGAGAAGTAGAACTGATTTAGGGATCATAGAATGAAGGACCACAGGCATGCTCAAACTCAAATCATATTTTTGGAATTATACTTGGATAGGAAGTCTCTATATGGCTTAGAAAGATATTTTCATGGCATTTGTGCTATTTTAGAGGCCAGGCTAACTCCTCTGAGGAGATGGGAGAAGACCATGATCAGTCTGTGGAATAGGACAGCACCAATCCCCAGGTGCTTGGGGCATTCCAGCCAGCAATTTTTCTACAAGGTTATCTTCAAGATCAGTTATCCTACCCTAAGTGAAAGCATGATCCAGGAAGAGTCTCCTGTTTTGAAGTTTTTTTTTTAGCATTAAGTATTTGAATATACTTTTACAGAATTTGGGCGGTGGTGGTGATTAAGTGCAATCATATAAAACAGATCTGTTTGCTCTCATGCATCCACTCAGTCTAGACCTCCACATTTGGTAGCTGTGTCTGTGCTAATCTGGCAAAAACCCCGTGAAACCAACCGTTTATTTCTCTTGATCCAAATGACTGAATTTAAAAGGGCTGTAAACAATGTGGAAGGCGACCAGCAGAGTCTTCAGTGTTTTAATTGTTTGAGGTATTAGTATCTCCAGTGTTGGATTAATTTAATAGCCTCCTTCCTTGAGGTTCACATCAGCAGGGCTGTTCTTAATACTCTGCACATGAGGCAAAAAGGCCAGGGCTTAAGAGCCTTTCTAAGGCTCCTCAAAATATCTGAGGTTTGGAAAACAACAACACAACAAATAACTAAACAAACAAACAAAAAACCTCCCAAACCATTGGCTCCAAATTATGAAAAGAATTTTGTACGATCAGAAATAATGTCTAAATATCTATGACACTTATTAATATCATGTCAACCAGCCAATGGTAATTCAACACAAGTCATATGGTTACTTTTACATTACAGTAAGTATGTGCTGTTGGTGTATTCTTGTGCTTGATATAATGGTAGGAGGAAAGCTCTAAAGGAAGAATTCTTGGAGTGCATCAGAGTTTTTAAATAGCCTTACGTGGCAAATTGAACTTCAGTTTTATGATATCTTTGGCATCCATTTTCTGCTGTTCCATAGAAGTCATGTCTCAGTCATTTTGCCGTTGGGCAGGAAGTATAAAACCAGCCCTAGGCCTGATGGCACTTCCCTTTTACATTTGGTGCTGGTAAATTCCACCCTAAAAAATTTAGATTTTAGAAACAGTGCTTGCTCTTACCCGGAATTTTCCCTGTGGAGCTAAGGTGATGGCCAGAAGGCTGTCAGTACTGTTACTGTCCCTTTAGCTATATTCCCCAGATGAGTAGCATCTATTTTGTTCTTTATATTAAGGTGTGGTAGAACTTTCCTGTGCACTTGGCCAACTTTTCCTCAAGTTTCCTGCTTTCAAAAGAATGCTCTCTGTCTTCCCCAAAATCACCATAGCAAAATAATGGCAACACGGCTCTCTTTTACCCTGAAGCTATGCAATGGTGCCAGGAATCATGTGCGTTGATAAACCAGAATTCATAGGACAATTTTCTGGATTCAGGATTAGATTCAGATCTAAGGAGCAGGATCTGCCTTTGGAAAAGAGTCCTTAATGGTGCCCAGAGTAGAAACATCTCCTGGCCTGTCCTCCTTCCTGATCTCAGGGCTGCATTGGGATTAATCTTCCAGATGACTGGTCAGCGTTATTAATCCCTACCTCACTGCTTTTTGGGCAACAAGTTTTCACCAAGATCAAGCTTAAGAAGAAATATTAGGAATGGGGAAAAAAGGTAACGACTACGTTTTTTGTTGAGTTCTTTATAGAATTCTTGAAATCAACCTACAGCATCATGTTAAAAGAGAGATGAAAGAAAAAAAAAAAACCCAAAAACAAAAAAGTGCAGCGGAGGGGGCTGTGGGAGGGGTGAATAAAAACAGCCTTAAAGCAATAAAGGAATTTGTGTCATTTTCAAAAGATTAGATTTTTAAAAAGAGTCTAAGGCGATTGACAAGTCTAGTTGTCAAGTAATAAAATTATTCTAAAGAATGTAGAGGAAAACATCACAAAGAACAAAACTGCTAATGTACTGGAAAGAGGAGGTTTTGGTGAAAGTAAAGTGCTAAGGGGGGTCTTAAAAACTTCACTTCCTTGAGACTTTTGTTGTTCCTATCTAAAATCAATTATGTGACATTTGCAGACAAAGAAAGCTTTTGCAAGTAACAAGGGGGATCCATTAGAGGTTTTTAGCCTTAGTTGATATTCTGAGGTACAGCTGATACTCCTTTTCTCCTTGAATGTTAAAAATGACAGAATTTCCTCAGGACTAAGGACTGTTGGCCTCTATCTGAGCAACTGCGAAGTGACTCTGGAGAGATTCCTGGCTTGTTTGCCAGGATTCCGGAGGTAGAAGTGAAATCTGCGAGTGCACACCTCACAGAGCCTGAGCAGGGATTTGAAGGTACGCCACTACCCACAAAGAAAGTTGATAGGATCTCTCTTCCCCTAGGTATGTCTCAAACTACTGAAGTGATTTGCTTTTCACACTAGCAGGACTGGCAATGCTCTGCCTATTCAGTTCTGGAGTGGAAATAAGCGAATTCCCTTGGCACCACAGAAAGAAAGTCTCATAATTATTCATTTCTGATTTCTGTTCATTCCCAAGAGTGCCTTTCCTGCACAAGTCCGGGTGTCAGCCTTTTAATAAAGGTGTAGCACAGGTGTAGGTAAAAGGAAAAGTCAAGCATCAACAGCTTACAGTCCTTAGACATAAAATATGTATCCTTTACTTCCCCACCTCTTGCTTCCGACTAAACAAAACTCACCACAGCCATTTCTGGATTTCTAGGAGGTAACATTCCATACATGCATCTTGGGAAGAAAGTACAGCACAGTTGAAGGTAACCATGGGAGATCACAGGGGACCACCAGGTAATAAAGAAGCCAAAGCCTGCTAATGAAGTCATTCCTCTTTTTTGCTGGTTTAGCTCTTGACTGCTCAGATTTTATGCCACCATGCTTCCAAAACTATCCCCCCAAATAATTTCAAACAGAGGTTGACAGTTTGGAAAAGAGTAGTAGTTCGTATGCAGACATGGAGTATGTGCCAGGCATTAAGGCATTTTTAGAGATACAGTCTTCAACGGGGCTCTTTAATGGTCCTCATTTTGCCTTCTCCTAGGTCCCTCTTCACCCATCATCTTTCAATAATTTTACAGCACTCCTTTGACTTAACAAAACAAACAAACTAGGAAACTCTACTTATTGAATTGTTCAGAATATTTTGCAAAGGTCAAAGTAAGTAACAATGAACCACCATCATTTAGTGAACATCTGCACTACAAAGCATGTCCAGTTTTCCAAGAGAGTCAGCAGTAGCCTCACGATGTCCTTGGCTAAATCTTAATTCCCAGTTACAATATCTCAGCACATGGCAGTTCTTAGGCTTCATCAGACTCAACTGTGTGTCCCCTGGATTAGTTATAGAACTGGAGTGTTAGATAATCCAGCGTAGAGGTGAATGGTTGTGCCTGTATAAAGAAAGGGAACATAGGTGGCCAGGGTGGATATCAAGGAAAAGCAATTGAATGCTGCTTTGGGGAGCTCCAACCAGCTCAGTCTGGGCCCTCAAAGAGTTGGCTGTAACTGAAAGGTGCAAATATGTGGTCTGATGCGGTTTACTATCTCTCAGTCTGCTGTCTGCTCCCTGAGGATCCGTCTGCTGCCATGTTCTTCTTCCTAGGTTACTCTGGCAGAATGGAGAATGCTGTCTGAATTAAGTATTCATTGTGGAAAAGGTGGGGGTAGTGATAATGTTTGGAAGGAGGAGATACAGTTTCCTAAGGGCAGGTGGGGAGTCTGCTTTGTGGACTGTTGTTGCCCAAGCACAATGCTTGGCACACAATAGATGCTCAACAAATGCTTGCTGAATAAAGGAAGGAATGAAAGGAAGAAGAAGACCTGCTATTAGAACTGAACCACATGAGATGGGCAGTAGAGACGGGAATATTGTGTCCAAGGGTGTTGGCAGCCGGAGTTTGGTCTCCTAATTATAGATGTGAGGAGAATTACGGTCTGCAGAGGGCCTGGCAGTCCTGGTGCTGACCTGTCGAAGGGCCAGATTTTGGTGGCGACTGAAACTTATCTGAGTTCCTTGTTGGAAGCCCCCTTCTCTGGCTCTGAAGCCTGCCAGGCTTGTGGTGAGTCATCCTGCTGCTGACTCATTTGGACCTTCCTCCCTTCCCCTGTCAGGTTTCCAAATTTCAGGCAGGGGTGGTTTCTAATGGGCTGTGTATTTCCTGAGACCCTGAGTGGAGGCAGACAATGCTTATGTATCTGGAGATACCCTAAAACACCAAGCTTGCTTGCATTGGAAGTCTTCCAGAAGTGGTTACACTATATTTTAAAGCAAAGCCTCTGATGCCCGTCAGTCCCAGGTTGGGACAGTGGGCACACAGAACATACTTTGCTGAGCTTTCCATTCAGTCAACTTGATATTTTCAGGAAAAAACATGCTACACTGTTATGTAGCAAGTCAACATGAACATGTCTCTAATGCTCAAAGACAAGCAATAATTAAGTTGACTGGTTTCCCAGGACTGTGCTTTGTTGTAAGACGTAGTTAAAAAAAAAAAACAAACCAAAAAACAAAAAACAATTAGTCACAGGTATAATCCCAGAAAGGATTAACACGGGACTGGTAGGTTCTACACTAAGTAAGGGAACTTAGTATAGGACTTGACACTTTTTCTTCTCTAGGCACATAGTAGGGTCACTTGATGTTTCTCTCTTGAAAGAATGGCGATTTCAACCTGACTTAGGATGTTTTTCTGAAGTGTTAAAGTCAGACCACACAAAAGAATTGCATTCTGTTGCCCTAACCATCCATCTACCATGGTCTTTGATTAAAAGAATACCATCCCCTTTTTTTCCTTTGGAGGAACTCTTCTACAGAATAAGGGAATATCTACATTAGCCAAATAGAAGCCTCCTGTATTTGAGTGCCTGTATGTGCATGTGGTCAATTGTGCCTGCGAACAAAGAAGCAAGCTAAGTTAACACAATCACTAGACCCCCTAGGGCTTCCCTTTGGCACTACAAGTAAATCAGTTGTTCAGTAAAGTATCCGGAGGTGAAGTCTAACAGTATTGTGGCCATATTTACATCAACCTACCACAAACAACTGGGGTTATGCTAGTAGTGGAGTTTGTCTTGGACAGTCTGAGCCAGAAAAAAAAAAACCCACCAAGATTTATAAAAATAAAAATACTTGATTTCTCACATGTGCTGAACGTGCTGATTCATCTTGGTGTAGTGTTCTCATATAAAGTGCTTAAGAGTTGGACGGAATACCTTTAGACGTCATAACTAACATAATCGAGACATGTTTACATTCCTACCAGGGCATAATATTGTGAACACTTCCACTGAGATTGCAGAACTGCTGTAATTTTTTTTTTCTAAAACATCATGCCATCTGCACACATAATAAAATAATCCAGTAGTTGCCATGCTAAAACAGGACTTCTAGTGAAGGGCACAGACAGCTCCCCAAAGGGAACTTGAGTTATGCACAGTGATGAAAACTGGAAGCAATTTTCCAGCTAATGGTCTGCCCATGACCACTTGGAACGAGTTGGCACTATATTATGCACCTCATTTTAAATCCACAGCAAAGTAAGATTTTTCCAAAGCCCATAATCTTGACTGAATGGGTGTTTTTTTTCCAGTTAATCCAGTTAATCTGTCCATGATCCAAGGATATCTTCTGGCAGTGCCATGGGTTAGTCTTTCTGTGAGGAACAGGCCATGTTCATATCAACTGGCAGGACAGCAGCTTGGAAGGCTAACCGTGTTTATGGAGAACCCTCGGCTGATGCTGCAAGAAGAAAAAGGGGGAAATATGGTAAGTTCTTTCCTTTATGTTCCCAGGCACTGATATGTAGCAATTATCTTATTCAAACAAACCCTAAAACCCCTAGGCCAAAGAGAAAGCTCTAGTCAGAATGGTTACTCAATGCCAGGATGGATTTACAGTGGCTTATATTCATAAAATTTTTTTTTCTACCATTTGGTAAGGCATGGAAGACACCCAACTAAGAAATAGGTGAAGTTGCCCGGAAGGGAGGGCAAAACCAGATCTCTGGAATTGGCATCCAGTCCTAGGATGGGGCTGCAGTTTGGGAAACCATTTCATGTATTATGAAGGTTCATGCATTTGCTTGGTCTGGTGCAAGGTAAGATTGGGGATGGTGTGAAGCATTTTATTGTGGGACAGAGATGGGGGTTTCATTTATCAGAAAGATTTCTTGGGATGAAATCTAGAAAAAAATATTGGAAGTGGAATGGCTAGAGCTCTTGAGCTTGCTAGTTGCGAAGTCAGAGTAGCTGGGAAGGTTAGACAGAAAATGTGTGACCTTGTCTAGACTAGATAGAGAAAGTCATTAAATTGGACCAGAGATTAAACTACTTGAATTGCAACCCTGCTTTTGGGCTTGGGAATGCTGGTATAAAAATATTAATATATTTTCCTGAGTTTTCTAATTTAAATTGTCTAATGTTCCCGTTATTTTATTTGGGTACTCTCTACAGTTCCTTATACATGGGTCTTCAATAATTCATTATTATATGAGTACAGGAATGTTTTGCTCAGAAAAATATCAGTATTAGTTTCTAATACACAAAACTATCAGACAATGGGAGAGAAGCACAGCAGGCGTTCTTGATGCAAAAGAAAAAAAATCTACCTCAGTTTTCAAACCTGGCTCTCAAATCTAACGAACTGGCTTTTCAAAACATGACAGAACACTTAATTTGTAAGCAAGTGTTTGATTAACATTTGCTATTTTTGAGAAAATGAAAACACAGAAGGTACTATGTAAGTGTATTAAATATCAAATAATAATACTTCTGACAGGTTGTATTGAAAGCAGAATATTAATTATTATTGATGGCACTGTCAACTGGAAAAATAATGTCAATTTATTCAAAAATTATTAAAAATGCATATTCCTAAACTTAGTAATTCCATTCCTAGGAGTATATCCTAAGGAAATAATCTAAAAAAAAATGAAAGAAGCTATATGCACAAATATGTAAACTAGAAGTTATTTATCATAGAGGAAAAATTGGAAGCACTCTCTTACTGTTGAAGATTTAGGTTAAGTAAATTATGGTACATTAACAAGATGGATAATTACATGGCTATTAAAACTATACTAATTATGATGATTATGATTATGTAGCAACATGGAAACAGTTATGATATACTACAATATAAAGCTTACATATATGCATAGAAAAGAACTGTATGTGAAAATGAAGGCCCTAGAATTTTTATTACTGTCATCATAATATTTTGCAAAACAACAACAACAATTAGGCTCACAGGGTTGCAGGATTGCCCCATGACTAACTAAAGCATCATGATTGTTTTCACTCACTAATACTACTGTGAAAATAAATACTTCATAATTTCATTAAGAGAAACACTTCAGTATTTTGAAAGAGGGATAAAAACCAATGCGGGTAAAATCCTGTCCAGACCTGAGAGAATAACATTGATTTCTAAGAACATAACACAGTGTACCATCCTTGATACTTGGCTAAAATCAGATCCAGAAAATGTGTGATCTTGGAAAATAATTAATAATCTATAAAATACAATTTAAGAAAAGAATAATGATAATAAAGAGTAAGCCCTAATTAATTATTATACTTTGGAACCTGAGTCATGAGTTGATAAGTAGGTTTATCATAGTTACTGCTTCTTTAAATAACTGTGTTTCCTACAATGGTCTCTAGTAACTGAGAGAAAGCAGATATATCTAATCTTAGCATATTAAAAAAGCACTTATAACCATGGATGTAAGTGGAGTGCAGTATACTTTAGAGCACTTTCCCTTATGGTTGCCCACTCCTCTTCTTAGGAGATGTAGAATTATTCCCATTTTATAGATAAGGAAATTGAAGCCCAGAAGTATTATTAACCCAAGGTCACACAGCTAGTAAGGATCAAAGCTATATTCATGTGATATGGTTTGGCTGTGTCCCCACCCAAATCTAATCTTGAATTTCAGCTCCCATAATTCCCAAGTGTTGTGGGGAGAACCCAGTGGTATCCTCTTTTGCTTGGCTCTCATTCTCTCTTGCCTGCCACCATGTAAGACATGACTCTCACCTTCTGCCATGATTGTGAGGTCTCCCCAGCCACGTGGAACTGTGAGTTCATTAATCCTGTTTTTCTTTATAATGTACCCAGTCTGGTATGTCTTTATCAGCAGCATGACAACAAACTAACACACCAGACTTAGGTGTGTACCCCTCTAGTGACATACAGGAGTGATAGGGAGGAACATAGAAATATTCTGAGCCTTTCCCATCCCATCTTCTGAGCAGGCCTCTGTGTTTATCCAAAAGCCCAATCAGCATGACAAAGGTCCCTGTTAGAGCACCAAAAAAAAAAAAAAAAAAAAAAATCAGAGGCTAAAATGAATTTATATTGGAGCAACAAATAGAACTAGAGGCCACAGAGAGACAAGTCGAAGGTTTAGATGGTGACATAGGAGGTTTGGGACAGTGGTGGCCATAATGAGTAGGGCATTGGGAAAAGGGATGGTCAAAGAAAAGAGTGTGCTATGGCAGAGTGTCATCTTTGAAATCTTTCCATGGTAGTCAGTGATCTTTCATTGCTCTTTGCTGTTTTTGCAGTTAGTATTGTGTTCCTTTTGAATGGGTCACCAGGCTGAGATGGGCTTTATATGAGTACAAGAGGTCCCCATTTGCTCAGGCTGTATGTGTAAGACACGTGGTGAAAGTAGGCCTTGAACCTTAGTCTTTCTTCTTCCCATTATGGAGACAGGGTCTAGCTCTCGTCGCCCAGTCTGGGGTGCAGTGGCACCATATCGGCTTATTGTAGCCTCGATCTCCCAGGCTTAAGTGATCCCCTCTCTTCTCAGCCACCCAAGTAGCTGGGACCACAGGCGCAGCGTGCACCACTACACCGGGCTACACACACCTGGACCCTTGAACCTTAATCGTTCTATCACATATGTATAGTGATGGGTTCTGCCATCATCACTTTGCTAGAGACTTATCTGCAACAGGAATCATGTCTTCGGGTGTGTAAATCTACATGAAGTAAAAATGCAAAATGGAAGTTTGCATTAGACAGCCCTGGCTCTGAAAAGGGGGAAACATGTGGTCTTTGATATAGAAGGCTCTTTGGGCTCCATCCCCTGTGCTTCAGCCATCCCAGCCTCCTTCTGGCTCTGTATATGCATGGGGTTGTTCCTGGCCTTGCTGATCCTTTCTTTTTTTCCAGGGTGTCTTCTTTATATACCCTCTAGCATTAGTGAACACCAACCCCTCCCTCTTTCACCACCACCAAGAACGTCACATCCTTTATGAAGTATTCTTTCCTTCTAGACACAGCTAACAACTCTCTCCTGTGTGCGAGTGTGGCATCTCAAATTTTCACCAACAAACCCGCAATGAACACTTCCGTTTAATGTATCCATCGCTCCTCCTAATATTTTGTGGGTGATGCCATGTCTTATTATTGTGGATTCTCCTAATGCAACGTGCAATGTCAGGTATACAGAAAGTGCTTATTAAATAGTTGTAAAATTCATAAAGAAAGGAATGATGTTGGAGGAGAATCTGTTTCTCTGTTTAATTTGGTAACTGATGTTGCATGAGATTCAATCCTGGTCTGCATGTGGAGAGTGGGATTGCTCTGGTTTCTTTCTCTGCTTTATCAACTACTTACTCAAGGAAGATGTACATCCTGGGGGCTGTCCATGTATCAATTTTGCAGCTAACAAATAGTAAAAGGCTATTTTTCAAATCTCTGTTTGATGGGCCACCATTACTATTAAGAGTTTAGACATTCTTGGAATTCTCGGAATCAAGAATTCTTGGAATCAATTCTTGGAATCAACCATCATACTTAGCCCTATGGCTTCAGAGTCTGGGATGAGGAGGGAAGCACTGGAGTCCAGTGGTCAGGAGCATGGGCTCTGGCAGATATGGGTTCACATCCTAGGCTCACCACTTCCCAGCTATGTGATGTTGAACACATGAATTTTTCCCAATCTCCTTTTCTTCACCTTTAAAATAGCAGTCAAAATTCCTGCCTCACAAGGCTGTTGTGATGTTAAAAAGGGCTCACAGGAAAAGCATTTTGTGTGGTGTTCAGTAAACAGCAAATAACTAAATGATAGCTACTATTGTTTTATTATTATTGCTATCATGAATTCCTAAAATTCCTTTGAGAAATCAAAGTCAAAACTCTAATGCTAAATATCAGTGTTTTAATGCTAAATGTCAATGTTCTAATGCTATAGCTGGGGACCAGGAAAAGAAACAAAATACCCAGACGTCAAGCCTTTGCAACGCCCAGGAGGCAGATAACTGTCTTCCTGCTTGCCAAGGCCACTTTGGGCACACTCTTGGCTTCTGCTCTCTCCCAGATTAGCGCAGCCCTTAACAGACAGTTCCATGAGAAAGGGAGTCTGAAATACTTCAAAGGCAGGAAGTGACTGGCCCAGGAGGCAGTGGCCAGCTTGGCAAAAGGTTCAATAACAGATCTAGGATGGATTATGTCCCGCCCCACCTTTCCTAACTCCAGCAGCACAGGGCTGAAGGATTGTTGTGTGTGGAGAAGAAGAAAAGATATTATATCCAGGCAGCCCCACATCTCATGGGCCCAAGGGGGAAATAAGACTTCATCCTTTAAAAGGGCTGTTTAGTGTCTTCCCTTCAGAAAGAAGGGTCCATATCTTCTATATGAAAGCGTCTTTCATGTAATGAGTTCAAGGACTTTGGGGGTGGGTCTGAACTGCAACTTCAATATGGGACAATTTATATCTGGTGTGA